GTTATTCCTTGCTTGGTCCTTTTTTTCCTTTTGAGGTAAGCGTTTCAGCATTTAAAGTTGGTCTAGTTGGTAAGTCTAAAGAATTTGGTTGCTATTTGAGATCTGCTGTTTGGCAGTTGATTTGGAAGTTTTTACCTGTTTGCAGAGGTTTTAATTGATTGTTCTATCTCAGAGTTGTTAGTTTTAAGAGATTGTAACGAGGTTTTCCTTATTGTGTATCGGTGACACTGATAGCATCGATTTGCACCATTCTAAATTTCAGTCAGACGTCTGTGGTTCTTACAATTCTTCTGAGACTAAGCAGGTTTTTAAATACATTGAAAAAGCACTTCTACATTTACAAGAACTACAGACGTCTGACTGAAAATTAGATGGTGAGAATTAATGCTCATGGTTTTATTTGGTTTTATTATTCTAAAGAGTTTGCTTTTGGTTTTAATATTTATTTGCATATGTGACATTTAGGATACAAGTCTGCCACAAAAATGGGTGGATTTTGCGAGGAGAAAATGATGATTTTGGATCTCTCGGACAATGAAATTGAGAAACGTAGAAAATATCGTGAACGTGTTATGTTCTGGATTTTAATGTGGACTTCGTTTTTGGGCTATGTGATGTTTTCTATGCCTGGTCCCCTTTTACCCTTAGAGGTAATTAAACGGTTTTTATATATCTGTTGGTTGATAGGAATGGACCAGTAAAATTGTGGGAAGAAAGATAAAAACATATTAATGTTTCATTTTAGCTCTAAGATAACCTAGAAATTGAAAATTCGATAAAGTCATTTTGGTGTAGTGTTGTGTTATTTTATGTTGATGGAAACACCAAGGTTATATTCCAGAAGGTGATCCACTGTTACTGAAACACCAGACATCACCAAACTCTGGATTATATTCCAGAAGGTGATCTACTGTTTTACTAATGTCTGTTACACCAGACATCGCCAAACTCTGGGTTATATTCCAGAAGGTGATCCACTGTTACAGAAAAACCAGACATCACCAAACTCTGGGTTATATTCCAGAAGGTGATCTACTGTTACAGAAAAACCAGACATCACCAAACTCTGTGTTATATTCCAGAAGGTGATCTACTGTTTTACTAATGTCTGTTACACCAGACATCGCCAAACTCTGTGTTATATTCCAGAAGGTGATCCACTGTTTTACTAATGTCTGTTACACCAGACATCGCCAAACTCTGTGTTATATTCCAGAAGGTGGTCTACTGTGGTACTATTGTCTGTTACTGAAACACCAGACATCACCAAACTCTGGGTTATATTCTAGAGGGTGGTCTAGCGTTGTACTATTGTCTGTTACTGCAACACCAGACATCACCAAACTCTGGGTTATATTCCAGAGGGTGATCTACTGTTGTACTATTGTCTGTTACTGAAACACCAGACATCACCAAACTCTGGGTTATATTCTAGAGGGTGGTCTAGCGTTGTACTATTGTCTGTTACTGCAACACCAGACATCACCAAACTCTGTGTGGTATTCCACCCTTTTTTTGCATTTTCCTTATCCATTTTTATTTCAGGCTGGAAAGAAAGGCACCTCCCAAACTACTGTTGGTTTTATATTTAGTTGTTTTGAGTTCGTCATCTTTGTTACCTCTCCTATTTTTGGATATTTTGTAAGTATTATACAAGTTTATATAAGTAAAGATCATTTTCATCTCCAAATTGATTGACATGTTGAAACCAAAAGAAAGAGCCACATTGTTCTGCTCATTTTTAAATTTTTTGTCTAATTTCAGTTAACAAAAATAGGACCCAAGTTTTTGTTTGTTTCTGGTATTTTTATATGTGGTTGCTGCTCTGTTTTATTTGGGTAAGGTTTTAACTAAATTTTTCAAGCAGATTGAATATATCCTTTTATTTTGATAGCAATTACTCTAAACTCAATTTTATTGATAACAATTACTCTAAACTCAATTTTATTGATAACAATTACTCAAAACACAATTTTATTGATAACAATTACTCAAAACACAATTTTATTGATAACAATTACTCTAAACACCATTTTATTGATAGCAATTACTCTAAACACCATTTTATTCATAACAATTACTCAAAACACAATTTTATTGATAACAATTACTCTAAACACAATTTTATTCATAACAATTACTCTGAACACAATTGCATTGATAACAATTACTCTAAACACCATTTTATTGATAACAATTACTCTAAACACAATTTTATTGATAACAATTACTCTAAACTCAATTTTATTGATAACAATTACTCTAAACACAATTTTATTGATAGCAATTACTCTAAACACCATTTTATTCATAACAATTACTCAAAACACAATTTTATTGATAACAATTACTCTAAACACAATTTTATTGATAACAATTACTCTGAACACAATTGCATTGATAACAATTACTCTAAACACCATTTTATTGATAACAATTACTCTAAACACAATTTTATTGATAACAATTACTCTAAACACCATTTTATTGATAACAATTACTCTAAACACAATTTTATTGATAGCAATTACTCTAAACACAATTTTATTGATTACAATTACTCTGAACACAATTTCATTGATAACAATTACTCTAAACACAATTTTATTGATAAAAATTACTCTGGACACAATTTTTTTGATAACAATTACTGTTTTTTTTTTGCAGAGTACTAGACAAATGTCCACCAGGAAATATATTCATTGTTATGTGCTTCTTGTGTCGAACGGTTGAAGCTCTTGGATGCTCTATGTTTGTCACTGCCAGTTTTGCTATAATTGCCTACGAATTTCCAAACAGTGTAGCCACAGTCTTTGTAAGTATTCTTTACCTTGAATGGCACCTTTGTGTTTCTTTTCTCAATAGGGTGGGGATTCCGACTAGTGACTATGGAATTGTCACAGGCAATTCTTTTCCTATGTAGAATGATACCAAATTAACAGTGTTGGAGGGGAATGGGAGGTGTCATGCTTGGCAAGCCTGAGTGCCATGGTCTCACCCTAGACACTCCACTGCAACTTCATAGGGCTTAACTCTTATTGATTATTTTCCTATAAACTCAATTAAGATAGCTGTTGGCACATGTTACTCTGAAGTTCTGCTTGAAATTTTCAGGGCACTTTAGAGACCTTTAGTGGTCTGGGCTTAATGTTGGGACCACCAATCGGAGGAGCTTTATATGAGGTTTGTGGTTAAATTGATATAGAATTAGAGCTTAAAGTCACTTTTAATACTAATATTAATACAGCTTAGTGAGCTTAATGGAGCCGTGAAGCTTGGGGAGATAGTCAGTTGCTTCACTCTCTGCCGATGCTAAAAAAATACTTTTGAATTTTTAACATGAAAAAGAGTGTCTAAAGCTCTGAGAAGACCATTACTTCAGTATGGTACAGACTGTGTATCTTAAATATCCCCAAATAGTGTGGTATTGGAAAAAGAGCCGGCTAAATTCCCTCCTTGTACACTGCATGGTGTTACCTGTCTTCATTAGCTCCATCAGGTGCAGAAAGGTAGGGCCTTGAACTCCATTTCAAATCATTTCTTTTTTTTCTAGCTTGGTGGTTATGGGTTGCCATTCTGGGTAATGGGTAGTGTGTTAATTTTATGTGGTCTAGTTTCATTTTGCTTGATGCCTGAAGAAGATGGTATGTCATGTTTTATGCCCAAAACTAGTGCTTTGTCAGATGCATGGATCCAGATAAATCTTTGTAATTTATTGCATGAATACAAGAGAAAGAAACATTGCACCCATATTTTACAAGGATGAAAACTTAGGCATCCAAAGATCCTTTGTACCAGCCAAAGCCAACCATGTTGACCATATTTCAGGACTACCAATATTTCAATTTACATGTGGATGGATATCAATAATGAACAGCCTGTGTGTCATCAGAACTATGGGCAAACATCTTGCTTTCATTTTTTTCCCAGATTTTTTGAACCCATTTACATTTGGGTCAACTGAAATAATGAAGAAAAATGATTCCTTGACTCTCAGATGCTGACTGAGATTAGAACCCACTACAACCATTTGTTCGACATAACACATATTAGGATGTAATGATATTCCAATCTTGTGGTGCCTTTTATTTCAGAAACTCGACCTCCCTTCAAAGGATCCCTTCTATCAATATTACGCAGTCCATTAGTTATGGTGGTGTGTTTCACTATATTCTGTGGCTCATTTTCTCTAGGATTTTTAGATCCAACATTAGCATCACATTTAGAAAAAGTAAGTAAATGCTAACAGATTGCTAGCCACTCTAAGTGGCATACTTAGGGGTAAGACCCCATTGAAAAATATTATAGCCTAAAACTAATGAGAAAATTGAGAGAAGGTAGGATGAAGGAAAGAAACAAGCTGGGAAGGCCTAACTAGGCATGGAGGTTGGGGTCTTAAGACACCCATTGGCCCAAGACTCGTTCAATCCAACCCTGGCTACTCTTGTGAACTAGGCCAAACACACTTACCTTTTCCTGAGGAACATGATCTTGTCTTTCATTTCCATCTTGAATGGACCACGTTGGCTTTTTGACTTCATGTCTACCTCCTTGATTTTGAAATTTCATTGATTTGGTTTATTTTCAGTTTAATTTGAGTACATTTGAAGTAGGGTTGATATTTCTTTGTGCTCCTGGAGTGTACGGGTTGACAGCACCAATATTTGGCTATCTTGGAGATTCCACGGTGAGTTTTTAGTTGAATACTTTATGGATGATCAATTGACAGTTACTGATGTTCGTTTTGCTGATGTGAACTGCTGATTCTTCAGCTGCTGATGCTTATGTTACTAATGTTCAAGCTGCTGATGTCTGAGCTGTTACTGTCGGAGTGCTACAGCTGCTTGTGTTCAGTTGCTGCTGATGAAGCTACTGATTCACATTCTTTTGTCCTTTTACTCTTCTCCCTATCCCATTTTTTGGCTTCCTTTACTATTGCTCTGCTCCTACAATGAATACTGTTTAAAGAGTGCTCTGTTTAAATTTCAGGGTTGGGTAGGAGGTATGATGGCAGTCGGTTGTGCCACATCAGGTGTGATGTTCCTCTTCCTGGGTCCAGCTCCCTTCCTACCATTCCTGCCATATACTCTATGGTTAATCATTGTTACATTACTTGTATTTGGAGCCACAGTAGGAGTGGCACTTATAACAACATTTAAAGGCATTTTAAATGGGGCAAAGTAAGTGCTAACTTATACTGTATATTTGCAAGTATAGTGCTCAGTTTTTTAACCATCCAATCGTCTTATAGATTGAGAGCACAATATCGTAGAATTGCCAGTATAATGCTCAGTTTTTTTACCTTCTTACCATCTTATTTAGTGAGCTATATCGTATAACTGCGAATATAATGCGCACCCTTTCTTGCTCTCTGTATCATAAACATGTTTGTGTTTCAGGCAGTTGGGTTTTGAGGAAAATTTAGATACTTTTGGTTTAGTGAGTGGTTTGTTTAATTCAACATTTTCTTTAGGGTAAGAATGGTTTCTTATATATATATATTGGAATAAATATCTGAATGCACTGTGAAAAGCCAAAGTGAAAAGCCAAAGTGAAAAGCCACTGTTAAAAGCCACAAAGCCACATGAAAAGCCACATTGAAAAGCCACATTGAAAAATTTAAATTTAAATTGTAAACTATTATAAGACTGAGTGAGGCTTTTTCTCTACTATTTTCAGGGCATTTGTGGGTCCATCTTTAGGTGGTGTAATAGCAGATCGTTATGGTTTTGACTGGGCTTCAGCGTCCTGTGGATTCCTGTATATAGTAGCTGTAAGTTATTCTATTTTCCTCTTGTTACTGGAATACTTTATCAATTCTTGTGACGTGGAAAAGTTATCAGAGGACCTAAGACTGGGCAACTACATGAGCCTGTGTACTGGTGCTGCAGTTCTGGCAAAATCGTTTTAGCTAACTGTCTTTTGATGGGATAAGGATTCCATGTTTGCTTTATTCATGAATGCCAAAAAATTACTGAAAGATTTCTTGGAGATCTTACAATTTTTCTTAAGCCTTTTGGTTTTTTTTATACCAATTTCTTATGTTCTTTTTCTGTCTTTCAGTTTATTGTACTTATAACCTTCAAATACACCAGCAAACTGGGCTTTTCCGAGCCCAAAGAGGAGCCAAAAATCACAGATGGTGAAGCCATCATTGAATAACTACTGCATCATGAACAGATTCTTGACCAGGTCTTTCTAGGACAATGGCATCACCTAACTCTGGATTATGATTTAGAGGATGGACTTTTGTATTAATGTAAGATTATAGAAACTCCAGGCATCACCTAACTCTGGATTATGATTTAGAGGATGGACTTTTGTATTAATGTAAGATTATAGAAACTCCAGGCATCACCTAACTCTGGATTATAATTTAGAGGATGGACTTTTGTATTAATGTAAGATTATAGAAACACCAGGCATCACCTAACTCTGGATTATAATTTAGAGGATGGACTTTTGGACTTGATTCAGATCAAGGTTAGAATTGTGTATCTATTTAGAACAATTTTTTCAAGTACATTGTTGTGTGAAATACCACAGAAAGGCGATAGATATTATCTTAGATGGCTTAAATGTTGTGTTATATTGCGATATTTGTGAGATTATTAATTGTCTGTTTTGTTATTAAAATGTTACAGCTGGTGGCTATTTTTTTTTAAAAATGGGATGATGTATAGCAAGACAACTCAAACTTGATATGAACAAAGACTTGTCTTATATCACATACATGCGATTTGATTGGGTTGGATATGCTCCCTTTATACGCTAAAGACTGTCTCAACATAGTAATAGAGTAATATGTGGGTTTCTATGTATCCTAGGGTTGGGGTGCGGAGTGTGAGCCACAGAATTGTCAAAGAGGGTTCAGACAATTCTGTCCCTGTGTAAAATAATTCAGACAAACATGATTAAATGGGTGTTTTGCACAAACACAACACACATTACAATATTTATTCTTTAAGTCAAAGTCAGACTGTTATTTGAAAACTACAGATTACATTTATTCACACAAAAGATAACACGTTTCTGTCCATAGACAATAAATTTTCCATTAAAACATAATAGAGCATATTATATCAGTCCATAGAGAGATATGAGTGTGTCCATTACAATATTTTTTCCAACTAAATGGCGCATGTTGTCCTTTGAATGTGACTGTATCTTTGTCCATTTCTCACGTGGCGACGTGCTTGGTTCTCTTGTCCTCGTATGTTGAAATGTTGCACTACAAACAACTAAAACTAATTTCTTCTACCCCATAATTCTAACATTAAAATGGCAAATTTCTGCTATTCTCTACAATTCAGCTCATGACAGCTGTCTGATCTTTTGGATTTCCGGTCCCTGATGATAGTTAAGCCTTTCATTCACTCTCAAATGAAGTAATAACGCTGGCATTTACATTTTAACTCAGAAATTTGAAAATTCGTGATAAAGTCAGCCATTTTGTTTGTTTACATCTAGTCTTGATTATCAAAACTGCACGTTTCATGAGTATTTAGTGTCTGGATAATCATGTAATAGGAGTATGCTTTTTCCTATCTTTCAAAACTGACCACGCCCACGTGTTTCGCCACTCGACCCGCCATTCAAAACCAAATTTGTAATTCGGAGGGATCTTGGACGATAACTATTGCTTGATTTGTTGTGTTAGAGTCCCTAAAAGACAAGAAAATAACAAATATGGTCAAAAACATCAAAACAAACGCACTATTCCCAAAAGTAAACACACCAGCGCTACTATGTATTTATTAGCGTTATCCGAGCAAATCAAAAGTGATCAAAACATGGTCTAAGGGAGAGAACTCTATTTTAAAACATAAAATTTGTCGGTAGTAAATAGACACTCCGAGTAGACTTGGTTGTCTAACATAGTAAAGTACTGCAGTATTGTAACAGCCGATTTCCGGTGTAAATTATATGGCGGCATTTTGTAAATTAAATCTTTCAAAGCTTATTTGGAGGAAAATGACTTCATACAGCTCTAAATACACGATCGAAGGGCATGGAGACAATCCTTGACAATAATTCTTTCGTACGGCCGTAGACATGATTGTTCAATAAGCTTTAGCCTCGAATGTCAAACAAAACAAATAGAGTTATAAAAACAAAATGGCGGGTTTTTGTCAGACGATTCAACTGTACATCAGTTAAGAGACAATGGGACTAAATCAGACCACTGACATGGCAATCAGAGCATTTGATAACATTCTTTTCAGTTTTTCTGTGGTCTACAAACAGATTTTAAGCCTTGGTTTGTCTTTCTTAAGTCTGAAATGCAAAGGAATAATCTTGAGGCGGTGTTCTTAGTAATCAAAATGGCCCAACCCGACGGAACCAAATAGACCAAAAGTCTAATGGTTAAATGGTACAAATTTGGCCTTTTCAGACCAAGATAGATTTATTGTTTGATCTAAATTAAGATTTTAATATATAAAATTGTAATTTCTTTCAGGGTTTGGGAAATCTGAGAAGCCTATTATATCTGTAAAGTTTTTATGTTACTTGGCAAAGATAATTATTTAAGAAGTTTTCAGTAAAAACAGTTAGAAACAATGTGTCAACTAAATTCAACTTTAGTCAGGTAACATATTTGTTTATTCTGAATTTTTTCTGTTTTTCAGGTTTTTGTTAAACTGAGAAACCTAAAACTTTTTACCAAATTGATTTATGAAGAGAAGTAAGAAAGTTATAGTTGATTTAGAATTTTACGCGTCATAATATTGTATATCGCTTATAGAGCCATTTTGAGAAATTGAGTATAAAAGTAAAATGGTTCTCACTGGCTTATGAATGAATATATTTGTATGATTTTTGGACAGGATATTCCAGATACATTGTAATGCAAATTGAAACAATGAAATAAATTTAATCTTCCATGCAGACGTAAAAAAAAAATTATTTCTGCAGTGTTTAATTTGTACGAATATACTTCAAGCTATTTACATTGTATTTTCAACTTTAGTCAGGTAACAAATTTGTTTATTCTGAATTTTTTCTGTTTTTCAGGCTTTTGTTAAACTGAGAAACCTAAAAATTTTTACCAAATTGATTTATGAAGAGAAGTAAGAAAGTTATAGTTGATTTAGAATTTTACGCGTATATCGCTTATAGAGCCATTTTTGAGAAATTGAGTATAAAAGTAAAATGGTTCTCACTGGCTGATGAATGAATATATTTGTATGATTTTTGGACAGGATATTCCAGGTACATTGTAATGCAAATTGAAACAATGAAATAATTTTAATCTTCCATGCAGACGTCAAAAAAAATTTATTTCTGCAGTCTTTATTTGTACGAATATACTTCAAGCTATTTACATTGAATTTTCAACTTTAGTCAGGTAACAAATTTGTTTATTCTGAATTTTTTCTGTTTTTCAGGTTTTTGTTAGACTGAGAAACCTAAAACTTTTTACCAAATTGATTTATGAAGAGAAGTAAGAAAGTTATAGTTGATTAAGAATTTTACGTGTCATAATATTGTATAATGCTTATATACCATTTTGAGAGATTGATTATAAAAGTAAAATGGTTCTCACTGGCTAATGAATGAATATATTTGTATGATTTTTGGACAGGATATTCCAGATACATTGTAATGCAAATTGAAACAATGAAATAATTTTATGCTTCCATGCAGACGTCAAAAAAAAATTATTTCTGCAGTGTTTAATTTGTACGAATATACTTCAAGCTATTTACATTGTATTTTCAACTTTAGTCAGGTAACAAATTTGTTTATTCTGAATTTTTTTCTGTTTTTCAGGTTTTTGTTAGACTGAGAAACCTAAAACTTTTTACCAAATTGATTTATGAAGAGAAGTAAGAAAGTTATAGTTGATTTAGAATTTTACGCGTCATAATATTGTATAATGCTTATATAGCCATTTTGAGAAATTGAGTATAAAAGTAAAACGGTTCTCACTGGCTAATGAATGAATATATTTGTATGATTTTTGGACAGGATATTCCAGATACATTGTAATGCAAATTGAAACAATGAAATAATTTTAAGCTTCCATGCAGACGTCAAAAAAAAATTATTTCTGCAGTGTTTATTTGTACGAAAATACTTCAAGGTATTTACATTGTATTTTCAACTTTAGTCAGGTAACAAATTTGTTTATTTTGAATTTTTTCTGTTTTTCAGGTTTTTGTTAGACTGAGAAACCTAAAACTTTTTACCAAATTGATTTATGAAGAGAAGTAAGAAAGTTATAGTTGATTTAGAATTTTACGCGTCATAATATTGTATAATGCTTATATTGCAATTTTGAGAAATTGTAAAATGGTTCTCACTGGCTAATGAATGAATATATTTGTATGATTTTTGGACAGGATATTCCAGATACATTGTAATGCAAATTGAAACAATGAAATAATTTTATGCTTCCATGCAGACGTCAAAAAAAATTTATTTCTGCAGTCTTTATTTGTACGAATATACTTCAAGCTATTTACATTGTATTTTCAACTTTAGTCAGGTAACAAATTTGTTTATTCTGAATTTTTTCTGTTTTTCAGGTTTTTGTTAGACTGAGAAACCTAAAACTTTTTATCAAATTGATTTATGGAGAGAAGTAAGAAAGTTATAGTTGATTTAGAATTTTACGCGTCATAATATTGTATAATGCTTATATAGCCATTTTGAGAAATTGAGTATAAAAGTAAAATGGTTCTCACTGGCTAATGAATGAATATATTTGTATGATTTTTGGACAGGATATTCCAGATTCATTGTAATGCAAATTGAAACAATGAAATAATTTTAAGCTTCCATGCAGACGTCAAAAAAAAATTATTTCTGCAGTGTTTATTTGTACGAATATACTTCAAGCTATTTACATTGTATTTTCAACTTTAGTCAGGTAACAAATTTGTTTATTCTGAATTTTTTCTGTTTTTCAGGTTTTTGTTAGACTGAGAAACCTAAAACTTTTTACCAAATTGATTTATGAAGAG